TGAAACAAGCGGACACTCAAGGCCTTCTTGGTGCTCTTACTGGCATGGTAGATCTCCTTGCTGTTCCTCTCCGGCAGTCCCATCCCTCCTTCCTCCTGCTTCCCAGAGCCCTCCCCCTGCAGCTTCTCATTCAGAAAGTCAAAGACATTGCGGGACGGCTTGCGGCTCCCTGAGCTAGCTGCTGCCCTGTGGTTTCCCTTCACTTGGCGTTTTCTTGACTTGCTTGGATGCAGCTTTCCCTCCTTCTTCTGCAGGATCTCAGCACACTGGTCCAGGGACTTCCCTTTTGGCAGCACCACAGCTTGGACAGGCTCCACGCGGCCCTCAGAGTTCTTTCCTAGACCTGAGAGAGCAGGAAGGCACAGTTGGGAAGCCAAACACTAACAACAAAGTCCTCTGCATCCCAATGAGCCTTCCCAACCACCTCGTGTCAAAAATCCCAATTCACAGCCAAGCCTAAAACAACTAGACCCAGTCCTTGGGTGCAGTGCTGCTGGCCTTAAAAGTCAACATGGAGATGAAGAGAGGCACACACAGCCAGCCACCAGTACAGCAAGGTTTTGGGCCTATCCTTACCTTTCCCAAATTCATAACCCATTCGAGCAAGCAGCTTGGAGCCGATGCCACGAGTATGGGCCTCCCACCCAGCAAAGGATGAGCTGCAAGCGGGAGTCCAGTCCCCGTTCTCCAAGGACGCTGAATCTATCACTGTAGCACAAAACAGATGGATCAGTAAGACACAATGACAGAGGCCCTAAGCTGGGAGGGGAGAGAGAGAGGAGAGGAAACTGTAAGCAAAACATAGTGGCCCTAACATAAGACTGGGAGACTAGAGCTCAAATCCCAGCTCTGTAGGACTTCTTGTAGGACCCCAGGGACATCCCTGAGATTCTCAGTCTCAAGTTTCCCACATTCCCATTGAGGAGCTAATATCAATAAGCATCCTTTACGAGGCTGTGGCAACACTGTCTGAAAGGAAAAGGCAGACAAAGTATAAGGCTATCCTACATGCCAAGAACAATGGCTGAATCAGAAGGGCCCAGGATATAATTTTTAATTTCATTTAATTTTTAGTTTATTAAATTAACAAGGTGTCTAAGTCAGAGTCAAACAGGGAAACCATGATCTGAACTATGGGGATCCTAACCTCCAGCCCGTTCCATGCCAGCTTACTCTCTAATTTCATCCTAGGGTAGGATATGCTTTCATCAGCCTTTTCTTGGATGTTATGGGTCCAGTTTAGCTTAGTTTAGTTTGTTTGCATGAAGCATCAGAGAATTTTACTGGTGACAGTGATATAACTCATGCTTAATTCCCCCCTAGCATCTTTTTCAGTAACAGGAGAGAGAGACTGACTATCTGTCCCCTTTCTCCAGAAGTGAAAATCATCCTGTCAGTGTTCTGCTAAGGCAGGGCAAGAGCTCAAGAGATCTGGAATTACAGGGCAGGTCTTGATTGTGGGCCTTCCTAGCACTCTCTCGCTCCCTAATTTTAGCATAGCTAGAATCACCTTTAGCATAGCCAGAATCATCTACGTTGTCCTCCTCAGACTCTTCAGAAGAACTCTCATCGCTTCGCAGTGGAGGAATGATGCCATCTCCTTCCACAACAGCCTCTTTCAGCAGCAGTGAATCGAACTTCACAGTGTAATAACCACTGTCAATGTCTGAGGAAGGAAAAATGATGTACTGTGCAAGTCTCCAAGGGAAGTAACTACAGAGGACAACATCTAACCCTTCTGCTGCTAACTGCATTTGGTTTCAGCCAAGTGGCACCGGGGATGAGGTAGGCCCAATGAATACTGATTGAAAGTTCTTCTCCTCACTGTCTGCTTTTGCTATGCTGGGTTTCTAGTTAAAAAAAGGAAAAAATGCTACTCACATCTATAGCCAGCTAAACCCAGATAGACTCAGCTGTTTATTCTTAGAATGAAGAATGGGTATGGGGCATTGCAGAAGTGCTGTAAGTCAGGCAAAGTTAAAGGCATCCTCCAGTCCTCTGCTGCTGCTTCAAGATGAAAGGCAGTGAAGAAATGGCCCCACTTCTCATGTCAAAGCACTTCAGCCTAACATTCCCCTCAGCCAGCAGGCAAGAGGCCAAATTCTCTTGGCTGTGTTTAATTTGGTGCTCACTTAAAACAAGAGCGAGTTGTTCCAAGTGTCTAACTTCCGTATTTGACCAGGTGCTTAGAATATTTGAACAACGCTGAATAGGGGGTAAGGGACACAAGAACAATTTACTGACCATCTAACTGATTAATTCTTTCCTTCTTCTATGCACACTTTCATTTCTATGCCTTTTTTCTTTTTTTGCCTACTGTTCCCCTTTTCTCCAGGTCTTCCCTACTTTCCAGCTTTTGCTCCTTCACCTTTTTTACTTCAAAGCCCCTCCCTTACAGGCTCACAAGGCACTTTACAAATATTAGCGAATTAAGCAACACAACATCTCTTGCATCCCAAGTTTGTGGCACAGATGGGAGACGAATTTATTCATCTCAAAACTCCCAGGGCTGCACTTTACCCACATCCCTCCTTGGTTCTGTTTGATCATGAAGAGTTTAATCCTTCTATTTTAACTACAGGACCTCAGGTCACCTTCCAACCTGGCTAAAATATATTAAAACAAGACTCACCAGTGATTTTCGCAGCATACCATATTCCATCATTATGTTTAGCCAAACAGGCCGAACCCACCTCCATAGAACTGAGGTCAGGTTCTTCAAATGGACGAAGTTCTTCCACCAATACCACTTGCCCATGGGAAAACCTGCAAGAAAGAGAAGCGATGAGATCTGCCCTCATCTGAAAATGAGCCTAGACAAAGTTTCTTCCTTCAAAGGGGCATGGGCATTGCTAAATCCACACCAGAAATTATAAAAAGGTGCATCCCCCCAAATGGTTTCAATATCATAAAATACATGTTGTAGTCCATTTCGGAAGTGGCTGCATCTCACTGGTCATCAACAATGACACCTGCAGCAACAGATGTGGCAAAACAGATCTTTCAGGACAAAATGCAGGAACTACATACAAAATTACTGAGGTGTCCCGTTCCCCCTCCCCCCAGTTTTGTCTTTCTCGTTAGCAAGAATTTATTTAGCTGTCCATTATATTAGAATTAACCCCTTCCTTGCAGTTTTCACTTAAAGGAGTTTCCATTTTCTCCTTGGGTTAGAAGAAGAAGGAATTCTCTTATTGTTTGACATAGGATAGTAAAAGGATGACACTGTCAAACACATAAAAAAACTGTTTGGCAAAGTTGTGGCAGATTTAAAAAGCCAAATAAGATAAAGTGTTTAAATCAGAGATTAGCCCCTTAGCTGACAGTGCCTTTAATTACCATCTAGCAACACAAAGGAAATCAGCTTCTTTACCGACAATTCTCTTTAAATCTGCATTTCCCGTCCAAGAAGAATGGACACGGCTTCAAGGACTTGTGAGTCGGATAGAGATACAGCACTCTGACTCCCGCGCTGCCATCTTCCAAATATTCTGTCCCCACAATCATAGCATTGTGGTACTCCAGAGTGCCCCAGGAACTGTAATATGGGGCTTTAACCTTCATCCCACTCATTTCCTCCTCCTCCTCCTCTTCCTCTCTCTCAAACTCTTCTTCTTCATCACTGTACTTCGATTCATTTTCCCCGTCAGCCTCTCCATCTTTCTTTGGAGAAACCTCATCCCGAGTACTCGAAGGCCTGTCCTTGCCACCAGCTTCAGCGATAGCTTCTTTAAAAGCAGCATATTCGTCATCATAGGAAGAACTGCCCGGGTTAGCGTCCTGCTTCAGGTGATCTGCTGGAGAGGCGGAGGGAGCAGCAGGGTCTAAAGTGGCTAATAGTTTGCTCTTTTTAACAGAGACCAGGCTGGATTCAGTCAATTCTATCAGCTGTTTTAAATCCTCCTGCAGCTGGATCAAGTCAGATTGTTGCGAGGGGTCCAGCCCTGCCCCTAAAGCCAGCTCTACCTGCTTCAGCTGGGCATTGTAGGTTTGAATCGCCGCTTCCAGACTCTCTTCATCCATCGCTGTCAAGTATAAAGCCGTCTCGCCGGGTCCCTTTTTGGGGTGGGCGGGAAATCAGCACACGCTGAAGAACGACGACAGCGAATCTCCGTCCAAACTAGCTGTCGGTCTCCTAGGCCATCGCGCGTCGTCTTCCCTTCGGCGCGACCGGACGAATCATGCTGCAGGGAACGGAGATTTGAAAGCAGCGTTACCGCCAGGACGCCCGGGAAAGGTCACCGCCGCGACTGATCCCGGGGCTCACGGCGGAGACCGCCACGACCGCGTCTCACACCGCCAACCTGACAGAGCCGGCCCGCGCGCACCTGCACATAGGACGGCAGACAGGACGCCTTGTCGGCCGGCTCCGAGAATCCCACCGTGAGGAGACGTGAGGAGAAGACGGCAGCCCCCCCTCCCGCACCCTTCCACCCCGCGGCCCGGCTGTTAGCCCCCAGACTTTGCTCTCACCCCGTGTCCCCTCACCACCCCCGTTACTCCAGCAGGGTCGCATCCTGACCCGCTCCGTGCCCAGCCCAGCCTGCTGGGGGGGCACAAAGAAGCCATCCCCCCCCACTCAGCATCCCCGCAAATGGGGCACCCAGCATCTGCCCCCCCACCCCACTGGGGCTGGTAACCATGGAGATCGTTGACCAATGGGGCTGGGGGAGGCTGGTAACCATAGAGATGGTGACTACCCCCCCGCCCAGAACTGACCCCACAACACCGGCCTCACTCACTCCTCGCCGCCATGACACCCCGGCGGGACTTCCTCCCTTCAGCACCGCAGGTCCTACGTCACTTCCGCCCGCCATCTTGGCGGGGAGGGCAGTCCTCCAGCCTCTCCTCCAATGGCGCCTGAGGTGAGGTGGGTGGGGAGGGGGGGAAGAAGAGCTGCGCGCGCGAGGCATGCCGGGAGTTGTAGTCCCCTCCCCTCCCCGCTCCCGCTGGGCCCGCCGGGGCGCTTCCGCGGGCGGACTACAGCTCCCAGCGCGCCCCGCGGGGGGGCCGCTGCTTCCCCTACGGGGCTTCGCTGAGGTGAGGCGAGACTGGCGGGCCTGCTCTGAGGGGAGCCGGGGCCTTCCGCCCCCCCAGCGCATTCGCTGTCCCGGCTTCCAAGGGTCCAGCGTGGGGAGGCCGTGAGCAGCCGGCTTCTGTGCCCCGACGCCGGGAGCCTCGTAGCTGCGGGCGCCGCTTCTCGCTGGTGGCAGGGGCCTGGGCCAGGGGGGGGGGTGGGATATGAGGAGAAACTGCCCCAGGAGGAGGGTGGGCAGCCCCGGGCGAGCGACCCAGAGGGGCGGGGGGCTCCGCGCCGGGGTTAGGCCTCAGCTCCGCACCATACCTCGAAATAAGGAAAAAAAAACACAAAAAAAATCTGGACCTTTTCACTCCATTATGACAAAAAGAAGCCCATCTCGGGCTCCGCGATTACGATTCGTACCGAGCGCATGCGTTTGTGCAGAAATAACGATCGTTCGTCTTCAGGCGTCACAAAGACGTGTTTTTGGGGGTCGTTTTTCTCAGCATAACCCGGCACTGGGCGGACAGCGGGGTTAAGACCCGGGTAGATAAAGCTGGGCCTGGGGCGATGTAGTCGGGGCTGAGCAGGAGTTGGCCCCGAAGTCCTCGTTGTCCACGACTTGCAGCTGGGCGCTGGCGGAGCCGCGTGTGGATCGCCTGCCGCGCCTTGATGCGCACGGCGAGAGAGACCCCGCAGCGGTTACTGGCGTTGGCGTGGCAACGGGCAGCCCAGGATGTGGAGGGGTTTGTGTACGCGTGGGACTGCTCCGCTGCTGTTCAGGCGGTCAAATACGTGGCAAGATTTTCAAACGATTCAGCACAGTGCGGGTGAAAAGCCGGCCGCTTCCGGGGTGCGGGCGAGAGCTGGTCGGCCCTCGGTTGCAGGTGCCAAATACATGAGAAGCGAGACTGCTTGAGCTCGCGTTGCTCAGTCTTGCTCCATCCCCTGCTCCAAGCAGGACCAGCCCCGTCCACATCGTCCCAGCCAACGCTTTGTCTCGCTTGGCCTTCAACCCAGCTTGCTCCCTTTGCTAAGAACGGGAATGAAAACCTGTATTATTAACCAACAGCAGATAAAACCGTACGGCAGGATCTGACTTTTTTTTTTTTTTTTATTGCAGGAGCAGGATGTATACACTGCTGTCTGGACTTTATAAGTACATATTCCAGAGAGATGAATACTGCGTCTTGATCCTGGGGTTGGACAATGCCGGTAAAACGGTACGTGCTTTTTATTTCTCTCTCTGTCTAGATGGCACGTACAGTTCCACTTTTTCCTCCCCTGCAAAGATGGAGTACAGGCGAGTTTCTTCCTTGGTGTTACTTCAGTGATGTAACCTCAAGGATGGATTTTTTTTTTCCTCCCCACCTAATTTTAGTGCAGTAAGCCTTCAGACAGACTCACGCAGAGGCTTTAATAAGTGCATAATCACCTGGGAACGCGTCTGGGGTTCTGTGGTATGACAGGGAAAATAAGGCAAGTATTACACAGGCCGTCCTCAACTTACAGCATTTCTAGTTGCAACGAACGGCACTTACGTTTATAAATTGACACACTGTTTCAACTTTCTGACGGTTTTGACTTTACAACACTTGATCTGATGCAAAGCCATGCCAGCGAACCAGTTTGCTGCGTCACCCACCCCCCTGGAGAACATCTGTCCAAACTTCCTTGGACACTTTCTTTAAGAAAGCAGACGAGACTCCAGAAAAACCTGCAGCCAGGACTGCTGAGAAGACTCCAGCCAAGAGCCCTTCAAAACGTCCAGCAAAGGCTCCTCAAAGTAGTCCTTCCAAATCCATATGATTGCTATTTACAATATAAATACATCAGTGTAGCTATATTACTCATCTATAATTGATCAAGTACAAAATTCTGGGGTATTTTTGGTGAAAATAGGGTATTGGGCCTTGGTTTAGGAACCAATCCCCCATTTATAACATCGCTTCCTATGGGAAAATCGGTTCTGAGTTGCAACGTTTTGACTTAAGATGTGGTTTTCAGGAACCAATTGTGTCATAAGTCTAAGGACTGCCTGTATTCTAAGATTTCATGGAGAATCCTGATGGTTTCTAGTAGGGGGAAAGCAAGTCTGGATAGAATCACCCTTACCAATAAAGTATGTGACAGTAACTAGTTTTTCTTTATCCTTTCAGACGTTCCTTGAGCAAACTAAAATCCGATTTAACAGGAACTATAAGGGGATGAGCTTATCCAAAATTACGACTACTGTAGGCTTAAACAGTAAGTGAATTGGTTTGGAGGCTCTTTTTCCCCTCCTGCAAAGTTGCATCAAATTGCTCTTTTCTTGAAGTATTTAGGAAAAGGTTACACGGTGAAAATAGTGTGTTAACAGAGATACTTCCATCACCTCCCAGTTCTTCATGCATTCTTTTAAGAGCAGATGGCAAAAATTTGCTGAATCTGAAGGAACGAATGTCATGTTTTACCATACCTAAGCCAATTCAGTCCTACAGCTCCACTGAAATTAGTAGACCTGATTCAGATCTCATTTAAACTGGCATAGCTCCACTGACTGTTTTTATTTACTTTATAGAAAGGTGAAATTATACTAATGTTAGTTGTGGCTATCATGTTGAGAAATACCGCTGAAATAGTGTCATTTTTTTTTCTAGATGAACTTTTCATTTGTCCTTTCTTTTTGTGTGCATATGTTAAGCTGCTTTAGAGGATGATCAAAGTATTCATTGAATATTTTTGTTGCTTTCCCTCCTCTAGTTGGCACTATTGATGTGGGCAAAGTCCGGCTAATGTTCTGGGATCTTGGAGGGCAGGACGAGTTGCAGTCTCTCTGGGACAAGGTAGAGGAAGTAACTTTTATATTCCAGGGTTCTGTGTTTCTTTAGAGTTGCAGGGAAACGAGGTGACTCTACAGGGTTCTTGGTGAACCCTGATATATAGCACTGACCCCTGTACAATTAATCTGTTTGAGAGATCAGTAGCATTACTTAAGCCTTTCACAGTGCTTTACAACCCTAATTGATCAAGTCTCTCAGCCCTCTCGGGAGAGCAGGTAACAGAATTAGCATCTTTTTATAACAAATGGAGGAAACGGCCACCTGAGCCACTAGTACTATTGGTTGTACTTGTCTGATAGTAAATGTATCCCTGCCTGCTCCACGCTGATATTTAACAAACAGCTTGATTAGCATGTATTGTCCTAGACTTTAAAAGCCACTGCATCCTGGCTGCGACTGTTAAAGATGGTGTCAGAGAAGTCACTGCTTAGGTTTCTTTTCTGACACTTGTAAGGAATTCCATGCATCTGTGTAGCCCAAGTGCGCAAATCAGAAAACACCCAAGCAATTGAATGCCCCTGTCAGACTCTGGTTACAAGGGTCTTTGGTAATGGGATAATAAGGAGACTTACAGACTGAGATTGCTGCTGAATTCTAGTTATCAGGAAGAGCTAATAACGTATCTTACCTGTCTGGATAGAGCAGTGGTTCTCCACCCACAGGCCTCATGCGGCCCAATCAGCACGCTGCTGCGGCCCATGTGACATCTTGTTAAATGGATACACAGGAAGTAAGTTGTGTGGGAGCGGTCCATGTGCCACATTGAAAGCTGCAAGCGTGGCCCACTATGGCAAATAGTGAATCATTGGGGTAGAGGAACAGTTACCAACTCTGTCCACAGAGATCTGCGAAACTGCTCACAACATGCCTGACACTAGTGGTTTGATCTCAGTCAGACTTTTCCATGTGTATCAGAAACTTTACAGAATTCATGTAAAAAATAGGAAGAGAAGCAAACTGCTCTAAGCATTAGACGTTGACCTCTACTATGATTTCAGTACTATGCTGAATCCCATGGGGTCATCTATATTATCGATTCCACGGATGAGGAGAGACTGTCAGAATCTAAAAGAGCTTTTGGTGAGTATATTTTTTGGGTTTTGTGTTTCTGTTACTGATGTTGGCTATGTATGTTATGGAATTTAACTGTTATTTCAGTCAAGTTTGTTTCTGCAGCTCTGTTACCTGTATCACCATGCATCTGTACCTCTGGGCTCTCTAGCTTCAGGGTTGCCAGGGTCCACATGCCACACTGATCATGAGCCCTGGGATACACATTGTGCAGGCAGCATGCTGCAGGGGCCATGCCCTATGTAGGTTTCCAGAACCCCTGCTGCTCAGATAGGGTTCCCCCTCCCTTCCCTACTGCGCAAGCAGCACGAGCCTGCTTTCCCTCCTCTCCTGGTACCACCATTGCTGTTTGGGCAACCCCACCCCCATCACTGCCTCATGAGCTCACTCCCTTGCCACTACCAAGTGGCAGCACAATCCCCCCTACCCCATGCTGCATGGGCAACAAGCTTATAGGGCCTTTTGCCATGCTGCTGTCCTCCAAAGACCTGCTGTGTCAACAGAAATAATGGAGGGAGTGGTGGTTGAGTGGGAACCCACAGGCTGGATGAAGCTTGTGGGCTGCCAGTTGGCTAGCCCTGTCAATTCACCTTGTGTGCTGCATGTACTTGCTCAAGTATAAAGTTTGAAAAGTCCTTGGGGTCAAGTGGTTAGGTGACCTAAAGACATGACTTTGTCTCTAGTTGTAGTTGCCTATAATGGTCCTGCATCTCCTTTTGGGCTTTTGTTTTAATTCTGATTCAACATTTTGGTCCCTAGTTGCGTATGTAGCAGATTTCTTGTGACCCGCTATTGAGTTATCTAGTTGGTACAATAAACGCTGAATAATTCACCACTCTGGATTTGACTAATCTTTGTTCTAATTTCCCACCATTATTATTTGCCATTGTTTGCATTCCTCGTGTAGTAGCAAAATAACCAGAGATTACCATACCTGCATAAAATGGTCAAAGGTAGAAGCTGATGAACAACTTGAATCTGGCAGGGTTTGAGCCAGTGAAATAGTGATGCATGGTGGCTTTTTGCTCCCTCTCAGATCAGCCATTGTAATTTAAACATTTGGATGATGCTGCGGGTGTGTGATCTAGACTTCTCTCATCTATTTTTATGCTTTACAGAGAAGATGATTACTAGTGAAGTTCTCGAAGGTGTTCCTATTCTGGTACTGGCTAACAAACAGGATGTAGAGGTAAGATCAGGAGTGTGTTTTTTCCAAATTAGTTTAGAAACAAACAAATCTCTTGCCTACTGTTGTAGCTTTGAAAAGGTGGGTTGTACATTCAAGCTAAATTTATTTTCATACTCTTGCTGGTTTCTGTTTAGCAGTGGGAGTCCTTTCCTGCTGCTAAAAATAATTGCTGCAGAGGCACAAATGAATCTACAGCAAATATTTCCATCTCTGCGGTGGCTCTTATGTGCCACAACAGAATTATGTGGCTTTGTTATTATAACTTGATGCAATTTATTCTGGGTCTTTTTATATTAATACACAGCTTTGTTTTTGCTGGCTGTATACATGTTTATGCTGTTCTTATACCATCACAATAAATTATATGAAGAAAAAGTCCTATTCCCTTTTTGCTGAACTAACCCTGCCCAGTGAAACAGTCTGTGTTCTACAGCTCTTCACAAACAAGCAGTGAATGGCAAACTACAGCTTATTTGTCTTGGATTCATAATTTCAGTCCCCTCTAGGATATTTAGAATAATTGATGTACCTATTTATTTAATATCGGATCAGGCTGTGGATATTGTTTTGGCGACCAATCTAGGGACCACAAATGAAGGTGCCTCAGTGATCTGTCCTGCTGAGGTGGAACATGAAGAGGAAATGTGAAGGGGTGATTTCTGATCTCCCATTTCTTCCGTTATCCTTGCCTTTCACCTGCAGTCAACCCGGAACTCTAGCAGTTGCATTTCCACTATTTCTTCTCTAGAGGGAGCCAGATACTTTCACATTAGGCATCTCATTTCAACTCTGAAGCCATTGGTCTGTCAATTCAGATAACCTACTTCTAGCTATTGTCAGTGCCTTCTGTTCCAAAAAGCAGTGCCCCCACCTACCCACCATTTCCAACCCCATCCATTTCTATCTTTTTACTCTTGCATTTATCCACTGTCAGCCACTCCACACACCGGTTCCAGGAACTGTTCCCTTGTTCCCTGACATGCCACAGACACTAGCACTTCTGGCATCCAGGCAGGCTCAGTGTAAAGTGATTGAACAGGTGTTTCTACACAAGACTGGAAAAAAGGATTTGGAACAGGCTTCCAGTCTACAAACTCAAAATGACTTACTGGATACCGCAGAGGGGCTACGGCACTAACCCAGAGAGCTTAGTTCTTTGGGTCCATGGAACTTGCATAAGGACTTGACAAAGATCCTGACTGGAGCAGCTCTGTATTTACACAGTTACACAGCTTAACACACCTGAAATGTCTTGATCAAACCTCTAAGAACTCAAAGATTCAGCCTTTTTAAGGTTTTCCACTGTATCTCCTCCAGCAAACTATTGATCTGATCAGTGGGACTCCTATATTGATTATGCTGTGTCTGCAAACATACGAATATACAGACTGTAAAAAAGAAAAAAAGAAAAGAAAAAGGACATCTGAGGTGATCCCTCCTGCTGGGACAGAACATAAAGATCTGAGACTGTCAGGATTCTAAACTTAGCAGGCTTTGTTTACTAAAAGCTGATTCAGGCTTTGGTAATGACTGTGTGTTTGAACATTTGAACAAAATGCTTCAGAAGTGGCAAACAGCTGACGTAGGTCTTGAGGTTATTGTGTTTCCAAACAAGTTAGAAAATGTTCCAAGTATAACTTGCCCAATCAAGACTGTTGTAAGACCTGGAATACGTAAAGTATGCGATGAAATTTTTGGCACAGCATCAAGAATTCTTCCATTAGCAGCCAATGTGTTTATCTTGAGTAAATGTGATAGCAACACATCCTAAATCATTCCACTGGGTGCTACGAACAACAGCAGTGTTCAACATTTTCAAATGCTTGACATATTAGCACGCAGGCTGCAAAATGCAAATGGAAAGTGAAACACATGACAGAACAGCAAACAATGCTTTTACCATGCCTATTGAGACTATATCCTGATCAGGAGAATATTCAGAATTAAATTAAATATGGTGATGGAGCTGTTTCTTCCACAAAGTTATGACAGGTTTTTTTTTTTGAGTGGGAATCCCTGATGGTTGGAGGGGTGAGATTTTATTTGACTATTGTTTATTCCACTGAAACCTGCAAAATATGCATTTACACTTTATTTTCAGTGTAACTTTATGTGCTTTAAGTGAAACTTAATAAAAAGCTAAAACGGCTGAACCAGAAAATTGACAGTAATAGGGAACAATTGTGGAGGGAATGTTTCATGCTAAACATGAGACATTTTGGAATACCACTAATAGATAGTGGAAAAACTGAGAGCTTTCAAAGGATAGCACATGTCAAATAGACTGTTGCAGAAATCCAGGAAGATGTGGTCTCTGGGACCACATTTTATTTAATTTTTCTAGGACTAACACACCAACTGCTGAAACTTCCCTAGCCTGACGAAGGGTTTTTGAACCCGAAAGCTTGCTTAATAACTATTCTCCAACTATTTGGGTTGGTCTAATAAAAGATATCCCATTCACCCAAGGAACCTTGTATGCCAAGATAGTCCAAGACTTTCTTTTTTAGAAACTTTGGAAAGCCCTAAGCTGTCTTCCCTGAAAGGCTTTCAGTGTAGGGGCGGGAAATGTATGGGTGGGTAGCAGTGCGTTGCTGGAGTTCAGGGGTCTTAGCTGCCAGTGATGCAGATATCGGGAAATATTACTTTTTGTTTCCTGTGATAATCCAGGACAGTTCCCGTATTTAAAACCCTGTTATTTTAAGTACATCCTCCATTTTAAAATAATTTTATTCACTAGGATGTGAATGATGAGACACACCGGACATTGCATTTTTACTGAATATGTAGTTTCCCAGGTTGTGTGATTTTTCTCTGGAACATCTTGGAGAGATGACCTTTCTAGACTGTGTGGGTTTTAATATTATAATGGTCTGCTATTATGTACTGGTTTCCATCATTTCGGTTTCCATAGTTTTGTTCTGAGTTGGTATGGTTTTAGTTAAGGAACAAAACACAGTTATAAATGTATTTTATAACAGTGGGGGAAAATCCTGTCAACAATGTTGATGTTTTCTTCTAAATCCTGAAATAAGACACACGTGCCTGGCTGGGAAGCCTAGTCTTTTTGTAATCAATCTTTTCTATCGTCTTTTGAGGACCCAAGTTCATGGCCTCTTTGGAAGGCTGGGCTGGGGACAAGAATTGTTCTAGCTAAAGTGGATTGCCTCCAAATCAACATGCTATTGGTATTGACCCATCCACTCTATCTGTGCATATGTGCACAGTTGCCTGTAGCCTGCTGCCCCCCCTCCCCCCGCAGCTCTGAAGATGACATGTAATGATCCTTGAAGCAGATTCCTCATCCAGGCAAAGTGGCTTCATAGCGTAGTTGGTATATTTCACCAAAAGTAAAACACTTCCCGGTCTGATTTGGAAACTGAGGTAACTGGACACTTCTATGGAATTTACAAAAGTTTCCTCAGAGGAAATGAGAAAGGGAAGTGATTAAAATAGAATTAAAGGCGATCCAGACTGTAACAATGACTACAGTATGTCATGCTACTGCTGTAACTTATGGGCAGAGCCCTCTCCAAGCTTATTACTCCCATTCTTCTGGAAAGTGAGTAGTATTCACTCAGCATCCTTCTCAGAGGTGTGGGCAGTGCAGGGTGGAGGAGACTGACCCTGGCCCTCCCTATCTCAGAACAGAAGGGTGTGTACTGGCTATGTTTGTGAGATAGGCAAGCGTCCAAACACATGGCTGCACTTGTCCCCTGGTACTGTAGTGCTTTTGAAACGGTGAGCAACAGTGTAGTTGGTTGGTCTCCATTTCTCATCTAGCTTTCTCTGTCTCTGGTGAAACCAACTAAAGCCATCAAGTTGGGGGGAAATGCTTTGGTGTCATAAGAACAACAGTTTACTTTCTAGCTTGTAGTCAGTCTGTCATAAACGGGGCTGATGGTTCATCCATTGTACTTCTTGGGTAAGGGGACAAGTCTTGTCTACATCTTAGTTGTTTGGTGTGACACTGGCATGTATGGTAGCTACAGAAGACCTGTTCTTTCCAAAGAAGTTGAATGAGAGAATTCTTTACAATAGCAGGGCTGATATTACATTGCCCTTCTGCCAAGCAGTAGCATAAATTGGGACATTGCAGGTAGGCTTCTCTAATGGAGGAGGTGGGTGATGCAGAGTCTGGGTATAATATATTACAAGTGCAATCTCTTGTTTGACTAGTCTCAGCATACCACCAGCACTTGGGTTCCAAGTATTAGTATTTTGGGGTGTGGAAGAGACTGGAAGTAACTGTGTCTCGACTCTGTAATTGAAGTCCAAGGGGGAGAGGAGATGCTTTGGCTGCTCACCCTGCTTTCTCTCCAAGACTCTTGTGCAACCAAAATCTTGTTTTACAAGAATTGTTTCCAAGATTAAAAACCTCCCTGAATGCTGAGAATGAGAACTTGAAAACTCTGACTATTACATGACATCCATGCCTTGTCATGGCAACCATTGCCAGTAGCATACTTTCCTGGCTTGTTGGGAATGAACATTTGATATAGTTGAGATCAATAGGCCCTTGGTTTAGGTTTGTGGCTGTTGCCAAGTGCGGTGATGTGGGATAGGAGTTGTGATGATATGCAGGCTGGCAATTTGTATTCATGCTAGAGACCTAGAAAAGATTACAAAGAGAGAATGCAGGGGACAAGCAAAAGCCGATATTCACTTAAGCACTGGTTCCCACCTGTCGGGAGAGATTCTTCATTCTGGGCAATTGAAATAGCAGGAGTACATGTCTATGATCATGTGCAGAGGAGCCATATGGCTTCAGCAGGTCTCTTCCGCACCCCAAAATACTAATCCTGGTGGTAGAATTTCTTGTGTAGTTTTTCTTTCCTGGAGCTCTATGTGCAATGCAGAGCCTCCTAACACTGTCCTGTTGTAACTCCTGGCAGGGATAGGTAGTATGGAAGTTGTCTTTTCACTGCTGGTGTAGCTTGTCTTGTCCTGAATTTAAGTCGGCAGTCATCTAGCTCTTCCTTTTTTTTTGGCCATGGTACTAGAGAGGAGTGGAGTAGCTGAAAGGAAACCTCTAGACATCTATATTAGCATTGCCATCATGTCTCTTCTACTTTCCAGATCCCCCAGCATGAGTCTGGACTCTCCCTAGGGCCATGTCTAACTGCCACTGAAGTCAGTGTTTGATTTAGACTACTAACTATTCTCTGTTTAGCCTGTGGATTGATATGTTGCATTTTCAAACGTCAGGCTTTGCTTTTGTTTAAAGCAGCAGAGTGTTATTTAAGATTGCATTATGTACATATTAAATAGGGTAGTGGGTTAGTACACTCAGTCTTTTTGCTGTTGGAGTTTGGAAGTTCAGCTTAGGTCACAAGAGAACACAGTCAAGAAGCTGCATGGCTAGCAGCCTCCACTCAGGTGTGAGAGAGGATTGTAGAGGGCAGGATGACAACTCCAGATTCAGAAGCATTAGCTGAGGTGGCTAGAGAATCTCAAACCACTGCTAATAATTCCTCACTTGAATGAGCACTGGACAACAGTCCTCAGTTACCGTCCTGTAATCTTCATAGTACTTACCTGGATTAAGTTTGCAATATGCTGTTCTGCAACAGATAGCAACTGTCATGTCTCTGGCTTGCATCTGAGCGACCTAAATAAGGCCCACACTTGTAGAAAGCACATTTCCTCTTTGCATGAATAAGTTGCACCTGTGAACATTACCCCTGGACTCTCCTGCAGTTAATTGTGGAATCAAAACCTTCCTCCTCAGGCAAAAAGTTGACCTGACTTGCTCACTCAGTAAAATCCTTCCTTGCCTAGAAAGTAGGTTTCAGCCTGTAACTAACTGCAGGTCCAAACTGTGCTTGCAGAGAGAGAAACTGGGCAGTGTCCAGATGAAAATTAAACACTTGTATGGGACTGTTGGGAGAGCAGCAAGGTCAAAACAGATTAGTGAGTTTCTGGCTCCCAATCCTGTGTTTAGTCCACATTTCCTGCACATTGTTCCTTCCTGCCCTAATTTAGAAATACAATATTGAACTGAGAGACCTCTGCTTTACATAGTCTCTTGACTAATAATCATACTTACTTTAACTTGTTTTGGCTACACTTCCAGTCTGTTTAGATCATTCATTTCTACCATGCCATTACTGGTTTCTGGAGAACATGCAGAAATGGGCTCCAAGTTTCTAAAGAAAGATGTAGATTAAAGTACAAAACGAGATTATGCCTTTCTAATGGTATGCAGGGTACTGCTTTGAAAAGCCAGAAGGAAAAATTAACATCTATCCTTTCTTGGTGCTATAATGCATTCCAAAGATTATGATGTCAGTGTCTGATTAGTACCACTGCACATTGATGGTAACAGTATTTAGAGAAGTCCTTGGGGCACAAGAGATTTATAGTAAATTCAAGCCACCAGTGAGGAAGAAGGGCTGGAGTTCTTTAGTGTGACCTTGGCCATGACCATCCAAAACAGCTTAGTCTGGCAGGTTTGTTTGTTTGTTTTTTTTTAAATCTTGCTCATCGGGATGCATGGGCAGTTCATTTGCAGGTTAGAAGTTGAGGCATTTGCATCAGTGTCACCATGCCCCAGAGAGCATGGTGGTGTGTTCCATATGTCTCCAGCCAAAGCAAAAACAAGCATCTGGTTGCAGTGAAGCCCATTGCAATCTGTCAGGCTCTGTCAGACCTAGAGGGGAAGCAAATTCCAGAATCAAGAGCCCTCCAACAACAGTGCTGTGCCATGCAGACTTAAATACTTGGGGAGGCCATATCACCTGAGAGAAGCCCAAGTGAAAACACCTGTGAGCAACTTTCAAACATGAGCGCAGCTGCTACATTCAGTGTTGTGCAAACAAAGGAGAACGTGGCATACGTGCCCTGGAGATCTGTCTGCTACAGCAATGGAGATTCTGGCAGGAACTGGAACTGGCTCAGGAACCTGCCAGAGACATTTTTTGGAAATAAACATGTTTGTGTGAATGGGAAAAGGCTGGCTTTTGCATGCAGGTGGGGTGGGATGGTGTGGGAAGGGGATCCCAGAAGTGTGCAGACCTGCAGTCCAGAATGTTGTCTTGTCTTGAAGCCACTGTGCAGATTGACATGATGCATTTTGCATCACGAGTTCCATGCCTGCAAGAGCAGCAAGGTTGCTGGAGGGCATGGGGATGTCTGGAACTAGCGCAGTTGCTTAAACATTCTCACAGTCACTTAAAGTTCACTTGAAAGGCAAGACTGTGCAGGAAGTTGTGCCAGGGATGTGTGGGGGCTGCAGGCTGGATGGGGGAGAGCCATCTTGTGCTGCAGTAGGCAGATTTTTTGTTATGGTTTCTCTTGCAGACGTGTCTGTCGATCCCCGACATCAAGACTGCTTTTAGCGATTGCATTAACAAAATTGGAAAAAGAGACTGCTTGACACAGGCCTGCTCAGCTCTCACCGGGTAAGTCTAGGAGGGGTGGGAGGCTTGGGTGGCCTGGTGAAATGCCACAGCAAGGAGGCGACTGTCTCTTGAATAAAAAAGCATGCATAGGGCACTTGGAGGGGCATTATATGGCTTGCAGGAAAGAACCATCAAAGGAAAACATGCTTTCCTCTTGCTGCCATTCATAGTATCTGGTGAAGTAGGCTGTCTCTTATGAAAGCTCATGTCTTTCTGAACCACTCAGTCTCTAAAGTGTCACCCTACCCTTGTCTCTCAGTGCCCTAGTATTGTTCATCTGCACTGATGGAAACTGCAGGTGGAAATTCTAGCATGCAGGCTACTGAGGGTGCCCTGCCCGCTGCACAGTTTTGCACAGAACAATATAATCTTGAGACTCGGGGTTGTGCAGCTAATTTATTGTCTAGGGCAGTGGTTTTCAAACTTCCTAAAGTCACGGAACCCTGTCAGGGCTGCCGTCTACTGCGGAACCCCTATCCCTAGCCCCTCCCCTGGTCATACTCAGTCCAGTCTTCCTTTCAGCACCCACTTTCTGCCACTGTGTGACACCAAATACTGGTCAAGATTGACCTGTGGTCTGACCCAGTAAATGGCAGTTCTTATGATCTTATCCTGAAAACTGACATGGAGCCAGGCAACTTGGTCTAGCAATGGTGGGTCACTGCTTCCCCACCTGCTCTGCCATGACCCCCAGTCTCTTTGCAGAACCCCTGATGACCTGTCGTGGAACCCCAGGGTTCTGCAAAACCACACTTGAAAACCGTGATCTAGTTCCCCAGCATAGTGATGCCAGCCACGCAGGTTAACTTTGCTACAAGCCATTACTTCCCCAGAAAATCACATGGAAAAGTGATTGCCTTTGTGACACTAGGAAGACAAGGTAGATGGGTGTCCATGGTCAGAGAAGCCAATGTTGTCTTGGTACCATTCTGGATTTTACAGGTAGGAAATAAACTTAGTTACTTATAACTTTGAGAGAAACACTGGTTCACTGGTACACAGACAACTAAGATGTTTGTTGTAAAATGGTTACAACAGGCTAGGAGACAGGACAGTGGATCCCATTTCAGACTTCCAGTCACCATGGTGTGATTTTAAGCAAGTCACTTATGTCACTTGAAGTGCCTTCATCTACCCTAAGAACATTAGGATGTTAGACTATTTACCTACTGTTTTATAAAGCATTTGAAGTTCTCTAAATTAAAAGTACTACCCTATATAAGTGTAAAATGTTATTATATCAAGTTAGAATAGATTAATGTGCCTAAATCACCAAATCCAGGCTGGTGAATGTCCTATGTTAGTTGTTAAAGCATCAATGCTGTGCAAGCCTACTGCAGTAATATTACAGAGAGCAGGAGAACAATCTTCTCAAACGGTAAGAAAACTACAAGTGTAATTACTGAAAAGAAAAGCAAGTTCCAGTAAGCAGGTGAACAAAGACTCAATGTCTAGGTTTCGCACGGAGCAGAAACAGCAGTATGAAACTCATTTTCTGATTCACTGACCTGTGCAAACACTCTGAGTTTGTCTGTGTGCAATTCTCCTGCCCCCACCCCTGAGTTTTCCTTTGGATCTAAGGTTTGAAATAATGAAAATGAAACAAGCAACTTTGAGGTTACTCTGTGGTCATATCAGCTTATTAATTTTTTGAGTCACTGAACTGGACAAAAAGAACACATGGAAGATTTGCAGCCCTGGAAATAGAGCTAGCTTTAAGGTTTGTAGCAATACCACAAACCAGCTGAACATCAAGTAGTTTGTTTGATGTTTTGTTGCAAGACTTTCATATTGTCAGTATTGAGTCTGAGCTAGGACAGAGACTAAACTGTGAAAGTACCTGGAAACTGAATAATGGAGTGTTTGAAATCTGACACTTAACAGTTGGAACCCATTACTCAAATGCATAGGAAAACAACGTAATCCAAAAGAAGGACTTCAGGGAGGAGAAAGAAACTAAAGTACCTGCAGCAGATGGTATGAACCATGACTGTGCCTTTGTCTTGTGTTTCCTTAGCAAAGGAGTGAATGAGGGGATCGAGTGGATGGGGAAGGGTGAAGTGAGGAACATTCACCGGCCCCCACGGCAGAAAGACATCACGTAAGGAGGTGTTGGTTAACCTAGGCACGGATGGCTTCTTTCCTCGCAGTCTCTCTGCTCTCCAAAGAAGAAGGTTCACTGGACTCTTATTACACCTGATTCTGTCTTCAAATGTTTGTTTCAAACAAACTCTTTCTGTCTAAAAGAACTTAAGAGCAATGGATTCCAACTTGCAACATGCTTCTTGCATTGTGTATTAAGCTCTTGGCCCAAGAGCATGGCCTTCCTGAAGGCTGAGTAGTGACTCACGATGTCCAAGCTCCATAGGTTCAAAGGATTTTGAGATTTCTACTTCATTGTTTTGGGCTGTGGGATTTATGAGTCTCATGTCCTTAATCTAATGGGCTCCATATGCAAATTCATTTGGACTCTTTTTCCAAACCTTAATTGTCTTGGAGTCGGGGACAAGGGGTTTGCTTGGGGGAGAGAGATGGTGGCCGTCCCTTGTAACAAAGACAACATTTCACCACTATTACCCTAATGATCATTTTGGATGGTGTTACGGGCCCTATGTATGCTGCTGTTAATATAATGGATGGGGTTAACAGTAATTGTTCTGTTTCCAGTTTGGCAATGTTGATTTGTGACTTTATCTACAGTAACTGCAGAGATGTAAGCCAGCAGGTACATAATGGTGTATAAGCTCACAATGGGCTATTTTGACCGGAAATGACCTTTACAAGTGTCACCTTTCTTTGACTCTTGATAGCACTCCTGTGCTATCCATTTAATGGAGAGAATAATCAGCAACTGGAAGGAATCCATACCCTCTATGTATGTTCCAAGATGAAAGCTATACCTGTACACTGGGAAGAATCTGCGTACAATAAAGCTTCATACTCCTCTGCATGTCTCTGTTGCTCAAGCCTTTAGTTAAAAGGCTTCCTCAGTACAGGATTTTGGTCTGAGGAAATGTTTGAAAGGAACAAAATAGAGAAAGAGGCTCTTGTCCAAGCTGAAAGTAAATCATTCCAAACCCATTGATTCCTTCTGGCCTGCTACAGAACTAATGATCTTTTGATGAATCTTAAGTGTTCCTTAAATTTCATATTTTGAAGCAAAATAATTGATTAAATTTCAGATGTGCTAGCAGGAGTCATTGTTGGGCTGTTGTGGTTACACTAGTATGTCATAGCATCGCTGACCTGTCATGTTACATTGCTCGTATAAAGGAGTTACGAAACCTTGTGAGATCCCATAATTTGGGCAAGAGGGAAAGGGGCATTATCAAGTAAACATTCAATGTGTTGCATCACCCTCTGACAAGTAACTTCTGAATAGGTTTCTTTATGCAATTTAATCCCGCAATAGAGGATACAGCTAATCCACTCATGGTCGAGGCAGCTAGGAGTAACGTTGTAAATACGTGCATGTTGGAGAGTAAGATCTGGCTCATGTTGACAGTAGAGAAAAAACTGGCAGGCTCACAAGACTAGATTGAAACCAGTGCATCTCAGCCTTCACAGGGTGGAGTCCAGCAATCTTCCTGCAAACTGTTTGACCCTGGATAAACACATGGACTGTGTGTGCCAGTAGTCACATCATTTATGGCAGTGGGGGACCTGCACTCTGCTTCCTGCCTTGCCTTCTGTTCCCTGCCCCATCCACTACTCTGCTACCTGTCCTTTCCTGTTCTGCCATGTGCCACATCCACAAGCTTCCCATGCCACTTGTGATGCACATGCCACAGGTTGGCCACCCTTGTGCTACGGGAAGGCACTTGGATAATATGGAAAATTGCTGATGTTATAAGGTTGTAGAATAGATGGCACAGCTGTGCTCACAGCCTAATCCCGCAGGACAACCATAAGCCACTTAGAACAGATTAACAGGAGTAGGGGTCAAGCTGTCTTTGAACTTCTACTTTGCTTGCCTTCTGGAATGATCTTTATGCTGTGTCATGGCTCTGTGATCCACGTGTTAGCCCTTGCCAACATACTTGCCTGCAGTAAATGGCATAGCGTGTCTCAAACATATGTCATATGTCCCCTACAAGGCAAGATGCATTTAAGAGGTAAGTACATGAGTGGAAAATTCTGGTGAGGTATATACGGAGAAGCCAGGGCTTTGTGTTTCTAGATACGTGGGAAGGGATATAAACACGACGAAGCAAGGCAAGAACCTACTGCACAAGGTGCTGAAGATAAAAACTGATAGCATTTGAAGATGGAAATGGAGAAAATACACCCTGTGAATTATTACAGTACAGTAATCCTACAGTGCAGTAGGATTATTATGGTTTCTAATCATTCTAAGTGAGAGCAGGATATGGGCCGTTTAAAAATTCTCACAGCTTCCAGGACTCTGTCTCCCTGCTGAGTCAAGCAAGTAAAGAGAAATGAAAGAAAAGCTCTTTTTTGGTGGGGGCCCCTTGATGTGACAAGGCCTGGGGTCAATTTGGAATACTTAAGAGTATTTTCTCTAATTTTCCTTCCTAGATACAGGCTATTAAAAGACACAAGTAAAAAAGCGTGAAAAGCTGCCACAGTTCTTTGGCTATCTGTCTCAACGGTGAAATGCAAAGTGAGTGGCCTGCTCATGCTGCTTTATGTGGCTTGCTGATGCAGGCTGCTATCTGACCTGCTTATTAAATATCTGCCTGGGGCACTGGATGTGTGCCTGGTGCTTTGTGGAGATGGGTTCTCCCAAGTCAGTCAGAGACTGCAGTCCTGCAGGCTGGTCAGCACCACTCCTACACTGGTGCAGATCTCCATGGCAGTTGAGGGGTTTTGCACATGCAGAGAGCTCCAGTCATGCAGAGCTGCTTGTAAGAGTGGGACCTCAACATCGCTATTCTAATGAATTTAAAGTCTCTATAGCTTCCCAGTAAATTCTTCATTGGCATTAAAATCCATGAACTGACATGGAGGAATATGACCAGCAAAAATAATGAGCAGGA